ATTAAATTTGATGATGAACTTTTGGGAGTATTTATATTGCTATCTTTACCAGAGTCTTGGGAGACGTTTCGAGTTTCTATTACAAGTTCTGCTCCTAGAGGTATTATTTCTTTGGAAACGGCTAAGGGTGGTATTCTTAAAGAGGAGATGAGAAGGAAGTCACAAGGTTCTTCATCTCAATCTGAGGTACTTGCCACTGAAAATAAGGAAAAAGTCATAAAAAGAAACTGAATGGTGGTAGAGAGAATAATATAATCAAGTCCAAACCATGATGCAAGAATCAGGAGTGTCATTATTATCACAAAACAGGACATGTACATAAGTATCGTTATCAGTGGAAAAGGGATAACAAATGCAAGAAAGATAAATCTAAACAAAGAGATCGTGATGATCATGATGATGATCGTGTTACTAGTGGTACTTGTAATGATCTTATTATTCTAGTGATCATGAATATGTTAATCTTGTATCAGATGAGAGCATGTGGATAGTTGACAGTGGTGCTACATTACATGTTACACCAAGGAAGGATTTCTTCACATCTTATACTTTTGGTGACTTTGGAGTGTTAAAGATGGGTAATGATAGTGTATCTAAGGTAATTGGTATTGGTGATGTTTGCTTGAAAACCAACATGGGAATGCAATTGTTGCTTAGAGGTGTCAAACATGCCCCGGGTGTCTGCTTTAATTTGATCTCTATGCATATGCTTGATGATTATGGTTATGACAATCACTTTGGTTCTGTAAAGTGGAAACTCAACAAAGGTAATTTGGTTGTGTCTATAGGGGAAAAGTTTTCTAAATTGTATTAGACAAAAGCTTTGGTTATTAGGGACAGTGTGAAAGCTATCGACATGGAAACATCTTTGTGGCACCGAAGACTTAGTCATATTAGTGAAATGGGGCTGAACGTTTTAGCCAAAAAGGATGTTCTTCAAGGACTAAAGAATGCATATTTGGGGAAGTGTTCTCATTGCATGGATGGTAAACAAACTAGAGTATCTTTCAAGAGACATCCTCCCTCAAGGAAGTCAAAGTTGCTTCAATTGGTATATTCTGATGTTTGTGGGCCATTAAAGGTAAAATCTTTTAGTGGAACACTTTATTTTATTACCTTTATTGATGATCATTCCAGGAAACTATGGGTTTATGCCTTAAAGAAAAAAGACCAAGTGTTGGAGAAGTTCAAAGAATTCCATGCTTCGGTAGAGAGCCAGAGATGCGACAAGCTTAAATATGTTCGTTCTGATAATGGTGGTGAGTATTGTGGACCATTTGATTCCTATTGCAAGCAACACAGTATTGCACATGAAAAGACTCCTCCTAAAACTCCTCAATTAAATGGTTTAGCAGAGAGGATGAATCAAACACTAATTGCGAGAGTAAGGTGTATGCTCTTTGAAGCTAATTTTCCAAATTATTATTGGGGTGAGGCACTTTACATGGCGGTGCATGTTCTTAATCTTACTCCTACTATTGCTTTGAATAGTGAAGTTCCAGGCAAGATTTGGTTTGGAAAGAATGTCAAGTATGATCATTTGAGAGTCTTTGGTTGTAAGGATTTTGTGCATATTCCAAAGGATGAAAAATCCAAGTTGGATGCAAAGTCAAAATAATGTATATTCATCGGTTATGGGCGAGATGAGTTTGGCTACAGGTTGTATGATCTTGTAGGGAAGAAACTTATCTGAAGCCGCGATGTAGTATTCATGGAAGACCAAACTATTGAATACATTTATAAGGTAGATAAGATTACACCAAAGAAAGATATTAGGTTTTCTAATATTGATCCGGTTTGGTTACCTAATCATAATGTAGATGGCATTGGTGGTGATGATTAGAATGATGAGCCATATGATTATGTTGATGATCAACAACTTGGAGATGAGGTGAATATTCCAACTAATGGTGATCAAGAGGAGAATGATATGTCACAAGATGAGAATATTGGTGAAGCTTCATAATCATCTCAAGCTCAACTTAGGAGGTCTATCAGGAAGAGACAATATTCTACAAGGCATATTTCTGATGAGTATGTGACTTTGACCAATGAGGGTGAACCTGAGTGTTTTCTAGAGGCCATGGAAAGTGATGAAAATTAAAAGTGGTTGGATGCAATTCATGACAAGATGAAATCATTGCATGATAATCACACTTATGATTTAGTGAAGTTGCCTAAAGGAAAAAGGATTTGGAAAACAGGTGGATTTATAGAGTTAAACATGAGAGCAACTATAAGTCTCTAAGATATAAAGCCAAATTAGTGGTGAAAGATTTTCGTCAAAGAAAGGGTGTTGATTTTAATGATATTTTCTCACCTGTTGTTAAGATGTCATCAATCAGAACCGTGTTGAGTTTAGCTGCTACTCTTGATTTAGAGGTTGAGAAAATGGATGTGAAAACGGCTTTCCTTCATGGTGATTTGGAGGAAGAGATTTACATGAAACAACCTGGTAGTTTTCAAGTTAAAAGCAAAGAAGATCATGTTTGTAGATTGAGAAACTGTCTTTATGGGTTGAAGTAAGCTCCAAGGAAATGGTACAAGAAGTTTGAGTCTGTTATGTGTGATAAAGGATACAAGAAGACTACTTCAGATCATTGCGTCTTTGTTCAGAAACTTTCTAATGATGACTTTATTATCCTATTATTATATGTTGATGATATGCTTATTGTAGGAGAAGAGTCATTTGCTATGAAAGACATGAGAGAAGCTAAATAGATTCTTGGTATTAGAATCGTGTGTGATAAAAAGGAGAAGAAACTTTAGATGTTACAGGAACATTATATCAAAAGAGTGTCGCAAAGAGTTAAAATGGAAAACTCTAAGATAGTAAGAACTCCTCTTGCTACTCATTTCAAATTGAGTTCTAGTCAAAGTCTTTCAAGTGAAGGTGAAGCGTTTGATATGAAACGTGTTCCTTATGCTTCTTCTATGGGTAGTTTGATGTATGCAATGGTATGTACAAGACCAGATATAACATATGTTATTGGTACAGTCAGTATATTTTTTCCAAAGCTAGGTAGAGAGCATTAGAATGCTGTAAAATAGATTTTAAGATATCTTCGCGGTACTACTTCTATGAGGCTTTGCTTTGGAGGAGAGAAACATACTCTAGTAGGATACTCTAACTCTGATATGGCTTGAGACATTGATTCCATAAAGTCCACTTTGGGTGACATGATTAAATTTTCAGGGAGAGTTGTGGCTTGGCAGTCCGATTGCAAAAGTGTGTAGCATTGTCTACTACAGAGGCTGAGTTTATTGTCATTACCAAAGCATGCAAAGTGTTAATTTTGTTGAAGAATTTTTTGTAGGAGCTTGATTTTGTTCAAGACAAATATGTGTTATTTGTTTATAGTAAAAGCGCTATTCATCTTGGAAAGAATCTAACTTTTCATAATAGGTCCAAATACATTGATGTGAGATGTCATTGGATACATGATGCTTTGGATGCTAAGTTGTTGGAGTTAGCTAAGGTTCATACAAATGATAATGGTTTTAATATGATGACTAAAGCATTACCAAGAGAAGTTTGAAGCTTGTTGTGATATCGCCGGTTTGGCGATTTCCTCCACATAATTGTCAGGGAGAGATTTGTTGGGCTTGGATTCTCTTCCTATATGGAGAAATACTCAAATATGAATATTCCATTTGTCTCACTTATATAAGTGGAAAATATCAATTTAGGATTTAGAGAGATAGAGAAAAAAATAAGGATTCAAAAAGAGAGAAATGAGGAGAGAAACTCATTCCCGTTTTTTCTGCATCAGTCTCACTAAAACGACGATCCATGATTTGTTCACCGTCAGATCGAGCTGAAATTTGGTAGGCTTGTTTGCAACACATATATCTAACTTTTGACCGTTGGGATCTTAAAAAAAAGGTCTGAGTTGAGAGATATCGGTTTCGCATTGAAACTGCACATTGAGAAAATTTTTAGCTTTTTAATTCTTATTTGTAAGTTATTTTGCTTTGTGATTTGCGGTTGTTATCACTATTTTGTGAATTACTTTAAAACTCTCTTGTATCCTCAATTGATTATAGTGAAGTTTTTTCTTTGGTCTGAACAACTCGTGGTTTTTACTTTCATATTTAAAGGGTTTTTCATATTAAAAATATTGATGTTCTTTTGTATCTTTATTGTTCGGTTGCCGTTTTATATTTATTGTTGATCCTCAAAATTTCTACAAGTTTGAAAAATATTATATCTGCTGTATATTGTTTTGTTATTTTATCTTAATTTTTCATTGGTAATTTGTTAGTTTGGATGGAGAACTAAACATGAGATCATTTTCAATGGTGCACTAGGTGATGTAGAAGAAATAACATTCAAAGTCAAGATGTTTATATGGAGGTGGCTTACTATAGGGTCAAAAGAAAAATTTAAATGTAATGTTTATGAGTGGTGTAAATGTCAATTTTCTCATTTTGTCTTGATTGAATTTTTATAATGTAATTCTTTATCTGTAATTGGGTTATATTATACCTAATACTCTTTCTTAAATGCAAAGTTGGTTACTAAAAAAATTTAATTTTTTAATATGTAAAATAATCAAATGTGATAATTATGTGTCACAAAATAATATGTTATATGTAAAATAATCAAATATGATAATTATGTGTCACATAATAATATTTAACATGTATTCGGTATTATCAACGTCATTTATATTGTTAGTAGTTTATATTTAAATTTATTAAAAAAAAATAGTACTTTACTTTTTTATTTATACCAAAAATGCATAAACTCTCACTTTATTTTGAATAAGAAAACATTGCTCCAATACCCACATCCTAAGCCTTCCATTTCTCTCCTCCATTTCTTCACACCCTTTTCACTTTGACCAAAACACATCAATCAACAAAATCAAAATCCATCACTCCAATTTCTGCATTCCTACAATTCCTTGTATCTAATCTCTTCATCACCATGTTAACAATTCATAGCACATTATACATTGCTTCATGATCAAGCAACATCTTCAAGAAATGTTGTAATGGAAATGAATCACATTTTATTCTTGTCTACTTTTACCATCACAAATTTTCTACTACTACCACATGTTCTATGTCTAGATCAAGGTAATTCTCTTGCACCTTCGTTTGTCACAAAGGAAATCTACAAGCAGCTTGAAGGTCTCACTACCACTTTAACAAAAGATATCAAACAAGATTTAGGTTTCTGCATACAAGATGTGTATGTATTACTATACGTTCATAATTTAATTAATTATTTTGTTAGGTTCATTTTTTAGTTGTTAATTAATTCACCATCTTTCAGGAATAAAGATTGGGAGGAAGCCTTTAATTTTAAGGGGGAATTGGATTTTGTAGAGGCTTGTGTTAAGCAAAAAGGTATGTATAATGTAAATAAAGAACACATGGGATTTGATCACGAAGTTCGGTCAACTGTGCCTACGTCACTGACAGACTTAGGGTTACAAATTACAACTTGTGTTAGCGAAACCGCCTCTCGCAGCATGCGCGACCTGATATAATTTGATTTAATTGACAGGTGATTTTACTGATAGAGTTTGTACCACTGCTGAAATAAGGAACTACTTTCAGAGTTTTTTCCTAGAAGGAGGCACATCTGCGAGTTACGTGAAACCGAACAAAAATTGCAACTTGACTTCATGGGTTTCTGGTTGTGAGCCGGGTTGGAGTTGTAGTGCTGATCAAAGAATTGATCTCAAAAATGATACAAAGGATGTTCCTTCTAGAACCAATGACTGTCAACCATGTTGTGAAGGGTTTTTCTGTCCTCAGGGATTAACTTGCATGATAAGTAAGCATATATCTTATTATTAGAGTCGTCTCAAATACGAAGTTTTTGGTTTTCCTGTGTAGGTTAGCCACAGTTTAACCATAGCAAAGCAGACAGTGGTCCTATTTAACCACGATTTAACTGCGACAATATTATGAGGCCATTTTTTTTTTTTACTTTCGCACTCTGGTTCTTAGGGAAATGGGGCCATATTTAGCCGCGACTTAATCGTGACAAATTTTGAACCCTGTGCAGTAGCCCGCCTTGTAAGCCCTCAAAGACGGTCCTGCTTATTATGCATCTTATTGTTTTATCTTAGTATAATGTTTTTAACTTTTGTTACTTTCTTCTCTTAATGAAGCATGTCCACTTGGTTCTTATTGTCCACTTGCTAAATTGAACGAAACAACTGGAGTATGCGATCCGTAAGTTCTAATGTTGATCTCGATTTTTTTCTCGATTGTTGTTTATGCTCAGCAGTGCAATAATTAGTTCGATGTATGAAAATTTAAATATTTGCAGATATAGTTATCAAATTCCTGCTGGAGACACAAACCATACTTGTGGTAGTGCTGATATCTGGTCTGGTGTTGTGAACAATAGTAATATCTTTTGTTCTCCGGGATCATATTGTCCGTCTCCCACGCGCAAAGTTTCTTGCGATGAAGGGTACTTCTTGCAACTTATAAGAATCTATAATTGAATTATGAGAATCCATGTTACTGATATCGGGTTCTCTCGTTTCAGATATTACTGCAGGATGGGTTCAACTCATCAAAATCGTAAGTTTTAATTAAAGATTAGTTTCGACACGCTTTCATTATAATTAGCAATATGATTCTTCTGTTATGTCCGTTTACACGCTCTACCTTGTCGTTTTGTGAAGACATTACATTGTATTGTTCTTTTGTGAAGGATGCTCCAAGTTGAGTAGCTGCAATCCAAATACATCAACCCAAAACATGCATGCTTACGGCGCTTTGATTATTGTGAGTGGATTCCAATCTAGAATTCGATGAAACCATCTTTGATAAAGTGTGATGTCGTTCCTTCATGATATTTGAGATTATTCTTCCTTGTAGGTTGGTATGAGTACAACTCTGATCTTCATTTATAACTGTTCTGATCAAGTTCTAGCTACTAGAGAAAGAAGGAAGGCTAAATCAAGAGAAGCTGCAGCAAAACACGTAAGAGAAACGGTACAAGCTCGTGAAAGATGGAAACAAGCAAGAGAGTTTGCTAAGAAAGGTTCAGCTGGATTGCAGAAGCAGATGTCTCGAACCTTTTCACGCAAGAAATCCAATAAGCAAGGAGATATAATTCCACCAACGCCTCCAGATTCGTCAAGCAAACCAGGGCAAGCAGCGAAAGCCAAAAACAAGGAGCCTAGCGATCTTACTAAAATGATGCATTCCATTGAGGACGATGGACCTGAAGGATTTGATTTTAAGATTGGTGATAAGAACATTAAAAAGCAAATGCCGAAGGGAAAAAATTTACACACTCATAGCCAAATTTTAAGGTATGCTTATGGCCAGATTGAGAAGGAGAAAGCTCAGCAAGAACAAAACAAGAACATGACATTCTCGGGACTAATTTCAATGGCCTCTGAAGGTGAGGAAGTAAAATCAAGACCTTCGATTGAGGTAGCTTTCAATAATCTAACCCTTACTTTGAAAGGTAAAAACAAGCACATACTCAGGTGTGTGAGTGGTGAATTCATGCCTGGTCGAGTTTCGGCTGTTATGGGACCCTCGGGAGCTGGAAAAACAACATTTCTTTCAGCTTTGGCCGGAAAAGCAAGAGGGTGCAATCAGTCGGGATCAATTCTAGTTAATGGAAAAAATGAATCCATTCACTCTTATAGGAAAATTACTGGTTTTGTACCACAAGATGATATCGTGCATGGAAACTTGACAGTAGAGGAAAATCTTCGTTTCAGCGCAAGATGCAGGTATCTGATTTTCCTCACGTGTTTTAATATGTTCTTTTTAGTTTCTATCTTCATCCAATTGCTTACTATATTTAAACTTCGGTTTCTTAACACTGTAGGCTCCCTGCAGACATGCCCAAACCAGATAAGGTTCTGATAGTTGAAAGAGTGATTGAGGCCTTAGGGCTACAGCCAGTAAGGGATTCTCTAGTTGGGACGATAGAGAAGAGAGGCATATCCGGAGGACAAAGAAAACGTGTAAATGTCGGACTAGAGATGGTGATGGAGCCTTCATTATTAATCTTAGATGAACCTACAACTGGTTTGGACAGCGCATCGTCAAGTTTACTTCTTAAAGCGCTTCGCCGTGAAGCTCTTGAAGGTGTAAACATCTGCATGGTACTTCACCAACCAAGGTAACATGCTTTTTCCTAAGTTTTTCACCAAACATTCCAAGATTAATATATCTATATATTATAGTTTGATTTTATTATGTTGCAGCTATACTTTGTTCAGAATGTTTGATGATATAGTATTTCTAGCCAAAGGTGGTCTTACAGCATATCATGGTCCTGTGAAAAAAGTGGAAGAATACTTTGCTGGCATTGGAATCCCGGTACCGGATCGTGTCAATCCTCCAGACCATTTCATTGATATTCTTGAAGGTTTAGAGAAACCAACTTCTGGTGTAACTATTGAAACACTTCCTGTGAGATGGATGCTTCATAATGGATATCCAGTACCACCTGATATGCTTCATTTGACCGATCAAATTGCCGCTCCTTCATCTGCTGCCTCGGATGCAACTAGCACATCAAAGGGTGTTGAGGAAACTTCTGATGAATCCTTTTTTGTAGAGTTTTGGGAGGATTTGAAGAGCAATATTAGGACGCAACGAGATCGAATAGAAGCGATCTTCTCAAGAACAAAGGATTTGTCTGGCCGAGTAACTCCTAATGTAGCCCACCAATATAGATACTTCGTTGGCCGGTACAAATTTTATTATTAGAGCGCATGAAAATATCTTATAGTGTATTGATATTATGTTAGAGCTAAATGATCTTTGCTTGTCTAGTAGTACTAGTTTCTTATCTTAGATTATCTCTCGAGACCAGACCGGTTTCATATTGATAGAAAGGAAGTTCAGTTGCTTTGCAGTTGGACACGTAGACACAATTGGCAGAACTTCGTTAATCGTTACCTAACATCATGTGTTCATTGTTAATGTTTTTCGTTTCTTTATCCTTTTGAACCATGATTTATATTCTAGCACTGACCTTTGTTGCAAAAAAAAAACTTCATAAATTGCTTATTTTGAATGAGTTGTTTATCCTTGATTAAGTTCAACTTTTCAGGGTTGGCAAGCAGCAGTTGAGAGAAGCAAAACTACAAGCAGTCGACTATCTCCTTTTATTGGTCGCCGGCGCTATCTTAGGAACTCTTACCAAAGTAAACGATGAAACTTTCGGATCCCTTGGTTATACATATACAGTCATTTCTGTTTGTAAGTTTCAAACCTCACAATTTCATTTGAATATTATATCAGTATGCAGATTCTAGAAATGAAACCTCACTTATATATTGCATATATGTGCAGCTCTACTTTGCAAGATTGCAGCACTCAGATCATTTACTATGGATAAGTTACAATACTGGAGAGAAAGTGCAGCTGGGATCAGTAGTCTAGCCCATTTTCTCGCAAAAGATACGATCGATCTTTTTAGTACAATCACCAAACCTGTAGTTTATCTCTCCATGTTCTTTTTTTTAAGTAATCCAAGATCAACTTTTGGAAGTAATTATATAGTTTTGGCTTGTTTGGTGTATTGTGTCACTGGCATGGCTTATGCATTAGCCATCTTCTTTCAACCTGCTCCTGCTCAGCTGGTAATTATCATATCAATAGACTGGCTGTATCCACATCGTACATGCGCATTTTCTTACAAGCTGTTGCTGATAATTACTGCATCTGTTTTTTTCTTTGTAGTGGTCAGTGCTTGTTCCTGTTGTTATGACTCTCATTGCCAACCAGACTAGAGATACTACATTTATGAAGATCCTAGTACAGTTTTGCTATCCGAAATGGGCTTTGGAGGCTTTTATCATTGCAAATGCTGAAAGGTCTGTTTTAGTCACTGCGTGAATGCATTCATGCATATACGTCTAAAATCATATGCATGAATGCGCACACACTCATGCACACGTACAATTATGTAACTCAGTTCAACATGAGTAAAACTATGCATTGCTTATGTTTGGAAATGAATTGAAGTATCAATGTTTCCCACATAAAATTTTGAATCTTCTGTTTTTTCTTAGGTACACTGGGGTATGGCTGATAACTCGTTGTAGTTCACTGATGAGCGGTAGTTATAATGTCAACTCGTGGAATGTTTGTCTAATTGTCCTCGTTTTGTATGGAATGATTGCCCGAGTTGTAGCCTTCATTTGTCTGGTAATTTCCCAAAAGAGGTGATTTGGATTGATATTGCGCATTTCAAATCCTCTAAATGTCTTTGGCCTCTACAACCAAAGGTCGGTTGGCGTTTGGTTGTAGACGAAAGACGTCTGATATGACATGGGTTCGACGTTTCATAGGTGATCCCTCTGTGTATAAATCATAGTTTATAAAATGTGAATGTGATATTAGATTCAGTTGACTAAGTAGGTTTAGCCTTATAGATGTTCTTACCATTTTAGGTTTTTATGTAAAGTTGTTGTACTTTTGCTTACTATGGTGTAAGTAAATTTTGCTTAGTAAAAGATATAGTGTAGATCTTACTTAGCACATTAAACATTTGCTTCCTGTTATTAGGTTTTGTATGAATTCTTACACAAACTTCTATAGGGTGTCCAGGCTTTGAAATAGTACAACTTTTCTGTTCCTACAATTTTATTAAGGTCAAAACCAAAATCTGATGATGGAAAGAATGAAGGTGAGAAAAACATAAGGGGTGAATTGTGTCAACTTTTTTTTTCCTTTAAAATCTGTTATCAGATTCTGATTGTACATATTAGAATTTGATTCAGAGTCTGTTGTATAGCAACAGAGTTTGCTACCCAAACTCAGTCATGTCTGCACTGCGGGCTATCCAATTCTAAACGGGCTCATTCCCAAAAAAATTCAAATAGTCTTCTTATTTTTGTTTATTTTTGTAAGTAACTATGCAATAATATCTATAGTATATATTAAATTGCAAATCTAAAATTAGGATTTTTAAACAATCCATATAAATTAACAATTAAAATCTAAAACAACACATTAACTTAGTTCAAACTATCCAAAATGCTTCACAAGTTAACCAACATAGCACATAAATTTAAATAACTTCTTCCAACAAGTTTTAAGTTACAAATTACATGTTCAAATGCTCATGATAACATAAAATAACTGTTTCAAGATAAGACAAAATAACTTGTTCCAACAAGTTTTAAGCTATCAAACTTAACACAAAATCAAATAGTCTTAACTCGACTCGCAACGTCATTTGAGTTTTCTTCAACCACATTCACATGTTCAAATGTGTCGGATGCTTGTCCACTTTCATTAACTTGATTAGTAGTAATGTCATTATCAAATTCTACAAAACAAGAAAAATAATCGTTAAAAAAATATTTATAACATGAGTGAATAACATGCAATATTATTAATCTATGATATATTTGAGAAAAGTTAATAAATTTACCTTTAAAACCATATAACCAACTTCGTGTGTACACGGGAGTTTGAATTGATTCCTCTTTCATTGAACTTCTATACTTGTTTAAAACTCGATAGACAATGCTAAAAGCATATCCAGATACTATGGTTATTGAAATGCTCAATATATCACAGGTCATTCTTGTAAGAAAATATGAATACTTTCGACAATCAGTCCGCTCTTTACTTCTACACACACCTTCCCATTATCTATGATTTGAGGGTTCTAGTTCCTTTCACTACTTTTGAAACATAGTTTTTAATTGCTGTTAATATGACACCCTCCTATATTACTCTAAATGTCTAGGGAATACTTAGGACTTTTCAGATAGTGCTTCGTCACTGGGGGTGTCACCCTCTGTCAGGGTGTTTTTGTACTTTTTTCGGACGGAGTCTATTCCCAGCATTGGTGGGGTAACTTTACACCCTTTTTTGAGGGTGCTTTTTTTAAAAGCCCTTATTCAGTCCCTATTAAGACTGGAAAGATATTTTTTCTTGAATAAGAAGGGTAGACCATGCGTCCCATGTCATGGTGGGAGCAGAAGGTGAACCCTTGTTCCCTTTTCCTAGACTCCAGATCCCAAGTCCACTGTGAGGGTGGACTCACGTGTCCTCCCTCCCTTGGACCGCGAGGTGATCCAAGCTATAGAGTGCTTCCGTCCCCTAGAGTACAACATCCGCATTGCTCGGGATCATGAAGACATCGACATAATACGTGAGTACTTAGGTAAGAGTATATATATATATATATATATATATATATATATATATATATATATATATATATATATATATATATATATATATATATATATATATATATATATATATATATATATATATATATATATATATATATATATATATATTATTGGCGTTCCCCTTGTATGGGTGTGCACTAACACTTGTTATATGCATATGAAATAATGGTGGTATCTCTTGATGAGATACTAAAGCGCTTAGTAAAAATGCAGACACTTGATTGACGACTGATGTAGTCTTTTTCTCGCGGTCCCTCTGATGTTTCAGGAAGGACGCAAGGTGAGACCTCGTGGGCGACAGAGATCCGTCCTTTTAAAGCTTCCAAGATGAAAGCAGATTTTTCCGCCCATGATGGAAACCAATGAACAAGGGCGGAGAGGCTGGAGGTTATCCAACCACCCCAGAGCTTTCTTTATGGAATAGCTTTGCTTTTGATATTGTGGCCTTCTCCAATCATTTATTTTCTATTCCCAAGAACTTCCCCGATGATTATCAGATGTTTTATGCTCTATCTCTTACCCAACTGTTAACTTTGTTGGAGGTCCAACTGGTGAGGTGATTTTTATTGTAAAATGCATTGAGGGATAAGTGTGTCGAGACCCTAGGGAGAATGCAGTCTGGGGGATCTAATTTGAACAAGCGTACCCGAGAAGGCGGGACGGTGCTAAGGCAGATGAAGACAATAAGGGATGATTTGAAGGTGCTCTCCTAAAAAGTGTCTGATGAGAGGATGATCCAACAAATAAAGGTGGATGGATTGAATAAATTGCTTGAGAAAGCTCAGAGTTCTCTTGAAATCATGGAGGAGCGTGTCTCCCAACTCACAGATGAAGTCGTGGTGGCCTCTGTTCATCACTTTGAGGAGGCGAGAAGGCGAGTTGCTCTCCTCTACCCTCATCTGGATTTGAGTCCTCTAGACCCTTTTAAGGTGGTTCTGAATGGGAAGTTGGTGGATGAAGAATGACTCATAACCCTTTTTTCTTTTCTTTTTTGGTTGTAATTCTGGTTATCCCTTTCGGGACTTTTTTAATTATTTAGAACAACGACGCCCCTTAGGGGGGGTCTTTATATTAACTATTTTTAACATTTAACTATTTTGTTGTTCTTATTTTTAGGTCTCTTGTGGTTATGGTCACCTCTTTGGGCAGTAAGGATCCATCCTTGGAGATCCAACTAATATAATTTCCTCAAGGGCGACAAGGATCCACCCCTGAGGGATCTAACAAATATAATTGCCTCAATGGGCGGCAAGGATGCTCCCTTGGGGGATTCAACATATATAATTTTCTCTAAGGGCGACAAGAATTCTCCCATGGGGGACCCATCAAATATAATTGCCTTTATGAGCGGAAAGGATCCTCCCTTGGGGGACCCAACAATTATAATTGCCTTTATGGGTGGCAAGAACCTCCATTGGGGGATCTAGTAAAATTAATTGCCTCTATGGCCGACAAGAATCATCCTTTGGGGATCCATAAAATATAATTTCCTCTATGGGCGACAAGTACCATCCCTTGGGGGATCCAAAAAATATAATTGTTTTCTCTCACAGACTTAGATTTCCTGCATAGATATGGGATAACGATATAAACATAGATAAATCAAGGATGGGACCCCTTGTTAAAAACCTTTTCCCCTGGGAGGTCAGAGGAAAAAGAGATCATCCCAATTAACAACTTGTTCATACAATCAACAAAGTTTTAATACTCGTGTATAGAAAAATGTCAGCTAAGTAAATAGTAGAAGATAAAGAAAATACATGAATAAACAACAAAACATGACGGCTGTATTAAGTGCCCATGCGGTAAATGAAATTCTTCTTGCTTTCAGGCTTCGTTTTGTTGTTGGGATATATGAGAAACTTCCTTGTTACCTTCTACTTCGTCCGACAATGTTATCCTAATGTTAGACTTTTTTCAACCTCATGCTTGAGAGTCACGTTTTCTTTAATTTGATGCTCTCTGTATAGTAGTTTTTGGCAATCTCCTGGTCCCCGTGAACAACCCCCAGTCACCCGTTTGAGAGTGAGTATTTTATTCATAGATACAAGGTAGACAAAATGACTCTCAAAGGCTTAAAGGTTGATCTCTCAATAATCATATTATATGAAGAGGGGCACCAATGACTCATTATCTAACCTTTATTTCCTTGACATGGTCTTGATCTCCGAATGTGATCCTCAAGGTGAGGTAGCAATTCACTTACACATGTTCTATTGAGAATCCAACTAATGATCCCTAGAAGGGATTTAGGTCCTCGGAGTCGAGACACAATCTCTCAAAGGAGTCACAATATAGTATATCGGCAGAGCTTCCATGGTCGACTAAGACTATTTTAATCTTCGATTCTTCACATTTGGAAGTGATGACCATGTGATCATCATTGTGAGGATCGACTCCGAATACATCTTCCTCTGAAAAGACGACTGCGACTTCTTGTGCATTCATACTTGCAATCTTGGGAAGTTCATCCACATTAAGGACTTGAAGGGCGTATCTCTCATGAGAGGAGCTGGTCTCACCGTCCCCGAAAAATCCTCTGACTATGATGTTAAAGGTATGTCATACTACTTATTTGTTGTCACCTCTGGGCGCTTCTTTGGGTTTGCCCAACCCCGGGTGTGATACGGTGGGAGAACTGACTTGGGATTTTACGTTTTGTGTTCGCAAATGTTTTGGTTTAGCAAGAGTCGCCACCGACTTTTTATTTTATCCTAAGGAAAGGTCAAAAAGCACAGGAAAGACCTTTGAGATGTTTTCTTGGGTTCGGGGAGTAGATTATAGAAAGGGAAGGTATTAGCACCCTTTCTATCCATGGTTATCCATGGGCTCTTAGTTACTTTCTTAGATCACTTGCTTTGCATTTTCAATTGTTTGAAATGGTGCTTTGTGTGTGGTTTTGAAAGATGTTTTGAAAAGAGGTCCTCATTGTGGCAACCTTTGTAATGATTCTTGTTTGAATGTATACAAAGATGTTTTTGTCTTTTAGAAAGTTTCCAATGTTTGAAAGTAGGGTTTTGAAATTGTGTAGTGAAGTGTGTTTTGAAGATAGCAAGGATGTTTTTGTAAGTTTGATCAAGTAACTAAGAGCTATCTACCCTATTTTACTCAAAGATTTTTCTTATGTTTTTAACCCTTTTAACAGTGTTGCTTCACCATTGTATTTGGTGAACAACCTTGTGTTAGGATGTTAAACGGGACAGGCGCGGGTCATCGTATAGACCATGATAGCAATAGTATCAAGTATTTTGGCAATTTTCTTAAGGGACTTGATCATTTTGTTTAGGCAACTCAGATAGCGTCATCGAGGGACTATGATCTTTTGTTTTGTTTTTGTTTTGCCAAAGTACTTGACATGCAACCATGGTCCATTTTTGAAGGCAACAAGTGGATTGAAACCCTAGGAGTGCAAGTGTGCATTATGTTTGTTTTTCATACATATTTATCTTTGGATTAGGTCAAGCTATTTGTTGATTTTATTTTGCATACAAACCCTAAGTCTAAGCATGGCATAATTGGAAGCTTTTAAATGTGCGAGAATTTAAATGCTACACTATTACAACATGATATAGGGAGGGGGTACAAATTTGAATTGGGGGTATTTGACAAGAAATTAAATTCTAAGTTATTACAACCAAATCGAATGTATAAGGCAATATTTAAATGTACAATTAAATAAATATCAAACAAAATGTATTATGCAAAAAAGATTTTTATGTATGTAAAAAGTATTTTTCAATGTGAAGTAAAAAATAAATAAAGAAAAAGTCAATTTTAATTATTTTTGCATTTTAGGGCAAAAAACCCTAATTCTTGAATAAATAGTATTATTTATTAATTATATACAATAATATATTAATTTATACAAAAAAAATAAAAGTATATTGTAAAAATGATATTTATAGTGTAAAATATTAATAAAAATGAAAATGTATTATTTTTTTTATTTGTCCTAATTTTTAATAAAATAAAGTATATAAGTATATATATATATATATTAAATATATTAAATATATAAAAATAGAAATTAATTTTTTACAAAAAATGTGTATATCCAAGAAAATGTTTTCAAAATGTAAATAAAAATAATAAATGAAGATAAGTATATTTTTGTATTATTTTTGTGTTTTAATAAAAAAGAAAATAGTTTTATTTACCTATTTATACTAGTAAAATAAAAATAAATATGAAATAAATATGAAAAATATAGAAAATAATTTTTTGGCATTTTTTATATTTGGACAAAAAATAATAAAGTCAGAATAAAAATAAAAATGTCAAAATAATAAATATTCAAATAAATGGGCCAGGGGGGTGTAAACTGAATAAATGGGTGTCAAAAGCAAAGGAAACCAGGCCCAGCCCAGAATCCACTTCTTCTTCTTCTTCCTTTGAACAAACCTGTGCGCGTGCTATGTACAAAACTGTAACTCCTGATTCTTTGATTTTTTGACAAAATTCATAATATGAAACTTGTAGAGCATCAAACAACGAATTCAAACATATAAAAAACTTAAGCTAACTCTCAAAGACCAGAGAGAATTTCTCTGGCCCTAATTTCTAACCTAGTTTTTTCAAAAAGTTCATGAGTGAAATTCTCTTAGCACGATTAATGTAAATGAAAACTAATCATATGTATGGCTTCAGGGCTATGAGTACAACATATTTCATTCACAAACCTAAGCCTAACCATTCCTAAATAGAGAGATAGAAGTCCATGAAATACCTGTTTCAGTTGACTTTGAGCTGGACAATGTAGCAACCTTCAATGGTGTTTGAGCTTCTTTTGAGCTTGCCTGAGGTCCAAGGAGGCTTTTCCAATGCTTGACTTGTTTTGAAACAACTTGAATCGTGCCACAAAACTCAACCTGCAAAACTTTGAAACAAAAATGGCAAAGTGCGTTAATGGTGTTACAGCTTGCAATGGAGGCCTGGGATAGTTCAGGTGAGTTGATTGGAAGGTGTTTGAAGTATCTTTGGACAAAACGCACGATGGAATTTGGTTATGGCTTGCAAAATGCAGAACTTGCCCTGTTTTGCAGAAAAACAGTGATTCTGTGTACAAGGGAGTTTGAGAGGCAAAAGGGTTGTGTTTCTGGCTTGTTGGGAGGTATCCAACTTGTCTACAATGTTTGTGTAAGTTCTTCTTAACAGATGTGAGAGATGGCCTATGTTTTGCAACTTTTTTTTCTTGAAGCAAGAAAATGGAAGTGATGTTATAGCCTTGTACAAGCCCTCCTATCAACCTGCACACAACACACTTGGCCCCCCTAATTCATGGATTTGGTTTGCAGTCTCAGATTTTGTTCAAGGCTCAATGCTTAGTGTTTTGACATAAAGTACCCTTTTGCAAAAATGGCAATATACCTTTTACCATTTAGGGCTTAATCTTGTGTACAATGCCCTAATGACCAAGACAAAACCTTAACTCAATGGATATGCATTAAATTATGGAGTACAAACTGGTTTTGAGACCTGTAATTTTGAACCAATCTAGCTAGATCAGATTTGCAAATTGGTATGAACATGTATTGGCCATGGACAAAAGTGAGTTTTTGCCAACTTCAAGCATTCGATTCTCTCTAACCACAAGGGTGTTTGAGGAGTTCCTGGACAATTTGGAAAGCTTGGAACATGTAATATAATCCATATTTGAAATGCAACTTGAAACTCCAAGTGGAACTATGTGAAAAATGGCCAAGAAGATGGGTCAAAATCCTGCCTAGATTAGGGCAAATTTTCTCTAAGTTAAAAGTTTTAGGTACCCTTGTTCCAAAAATCATAACTTGAGATACAAGCTTCTTTTTAGAAAACTTTGTGAATCAAAGTTATAAATTTTGTGATGGACTACAACTTTCTTGTTGCAAGTTTTCTTTGAATCCATTTGCATCTTGGTGAAACAATGGGACAAAGTTAGGAAAAAATAAGAAAATTTCATAACTTAGAAAATTTCTAAGTTATGAAA